TTCCCTACTTTTTTTTGCGGAGCAACTTTTTTCCGGGATTTCTCGGATTTTCACAGAAAATGCCTGATTTCTCATTCTCCAAGAAAATCACAAAATTGCAATTTTGGTACATCCCTATTTATAATTTATAACTATAATCCCCAACTCAATCCTCAGTTAAATTTATCTCAAAACAGTCTAAGGGGGCACATTTGGTTATAGAAGGCAGGGATGGCCAAAGGGTCCAAAGGGTACTATCCACACTGTCCTTAGGGTTCACAGTCAAGCTGATAAATTTCACATTTGTATGGATTATTAATTTAATTATAAACCTTAGTACTTTCAAGCTTGGCAGATTTAAAATGTTTTAGAACATCAGTTCTCACCACTATCTGTTAGATGGGATAAGTAGCACTGTATCACATTTACAAACATATGTAAGCTGAGATCACAATACAAACCTGAGGCTGTATGTCCAGAAAAGCCTAATCTCTCACTCTCTTGTTTACATACCTTAAGAGGGCAAACACAACCTTCGTCTGGTTGGAATAATCTCGTGCAAAGTGAAAAAAAGCTTTTTAAAATACTAACATTTTTCTAACGTGTTATTAAAAACATCTAATCTCTCCTCTTCAAAGTCTGCAAATTTTTAGTCTTCATTTAAGGTTTTGTTAAGAGTCAATGGAATGGATTCTGTAGCCCCTTTCGTTCTTTTTGCCCTGCCAACACAGTACAAAGGTGACAGAGGTTACATCTGCCTTGAAGGGAATCATTTCCCTGCAGCTGGCAATAATTCTCAGTAAAATAAGCACCCTACCTTCAAGATTCTTAATTTAACTTTAATTTTATGAGATACATGAAACATTCACCTGAAAAGAAAGAGCCAATTAAGAGAGAAATAAAGGCCCAATCCTACAAATCTTCTCTCAGACATGAAGTTCCACTGAAGTCAGTAGGAAAACTCATGTAAAGAATACTCATATGAATAAAGACTTGCAGTAATGGGTTCTTGGATTACTTATTATTTGTGTCAGAAAGCAAAGTTAGTATTAATCATAATGATGTGGTAGCATAAGACTCTGGAAACATTTACAGTTAATTTTCCAAATACAACTTCAAAAATTATTCATGCAAATTGCATACTTTACCTACCAGTTTTCCCAAACTGCACATCTTTGTCTAACAGCCTGCCAACTGTGCTCACAAAATGTACATATCAAATTCAAAGAATGAATTTCTAACAAAATGATAGAACAGATCTCCAAATCCTGGCTCCTAAACTGCTTGTGGAAATTTTGCTTATGCACACACACAGAGCACTTCTGCATCTAACTACTGTTCTCCTGTATTCAGCTGTCCTATCAGTGTATACAAATAGATGTAATACAAAACTCTGGGGCATAATTTAAGAACAAACTTGAAAATTTTGCTTTATAGGTTTAATTTACAGCAGAGGCTTGTCCATTCATTCCACCCCACTCTGCCTCATATTGCAAGCATCTCAAAATAGCGGATGACCTTACATTCTGTGCCATGTGCCCTAAGTACATCAGGGTGATTTAAGGATGAAGTGTCAGCGTTGCCATGCCTTTCTTTGCTTGTTGATCTGCAAGTCAAACCTCAAACTTATTTTCACATCCTACATTTTTATTCAGCTTCCTTTGTTTTTGATTGATGATATAAATAAGGCAAATATGCAAATAGGCTAATTTTAAAAATAGGTCTATCAAAACAGGGGTTTTTTTAGTGTTTTTAGATGGTTTTGACCCATTCAGATGTTAAAAACAGCTTTTTTTAGACAGTGAAGCTCTGTCAGCTTTGCCTACAGACCACATCTGTACTTTATTTTGACATGTAATGCTTATTTTAGATTTGTACACACTTGTGCCCACATCCACAGATCTGCCATGTTCCTATACCCTAACGACTGCAGTCCAGACCCTGATTCCTGAGGTTGATAAGACAAAATACTTATTAATGATCTGGAACTAATTCTCATAACTCAAAACCTAAATCTATTTATGATTTTGGGCTGTTTATAAAAGAGTCATGCAAACTTTTACATCTACCACTTCCTATTGATTTGGCATTTTTTTTTAATATATCAAGCATCAGACCCCAAATTTGAAAAATTATAAAACATGTTGCGCCTGTTACTTTTTTCTAACTTTAGTGCAGGGTTTCGAGGGGAACTGCACCCCAACTTCTTGAAAGCAAAACTCATGTCATGTGTATGCGTTACACCACATGGGAGTGAAAACTGCAGGGATGGTAGCCCCTGGTGAGGCCACAAAGCCTGCCAAGTTTCAAGAAGATAGATGCAGGGGTTTGGGGGGAACTGCACCTCAAGCTGAGGACAAGCAAAACTCATGACATGGGTGACACTGTGTGTGTTAAGGCGCAGCAGGGTGAAAGCTGCAGGCATGCTAGCCCCTGCTGCGGCCACGAAGCCTGCCAGCTGTCAAGGAGATCGGTGCAGGGATTCTGGGTTCTGGGGCCCTGCCCCTCTGGCCACAGGCAGGCAAAACTCATGACATGGGTGCTTGTGGAACTGACTGTCTCTGTCTTGGGCCAGTTGATTGTCTGTATTGATTATTTCCTCTCCTTAGTCTGTGGTTTTGTAGGTGTTAATCATTGCTAATTAACTTGTAACAACCTTAAATAGCCTCAGCAGGGGCCACCACCCCTGCAGTTTTCAGCCTGCTGCACCTTAACACATACAATGTCACCCATGTCACGAGTTTTGCCTATCAGCAGTTTGAGGTGCAGTTCCCCCCAAACCCCTACACTGATCTTCTTGAAACTTGGCAGGCTTTGTGGCCTCACCAGGGGCCACCACCCCTGCAGTTTCTCCCCCGCCCCCCCGGGCGTAACACATGCACGTGACATGAGTTTTGCTTTCAAGAATTTGGGGTGCAGTTTCCCCCGAGCCCCTGCACCAATCTTCTTGAAACTTGGCAGGGTTCATTTTCTCTGCAGAGGCCACCACTTCTGCAAGTTTCATCCAAATCAGACAACAAACATCACAGCTATAGACATTTCATTGATTCCCCATTATACCCTATGGCCAGATCTCTGAGGCGGCTCCAAAGCCTTGGAGCCGCTTGGCCAGACCAAAGCGGGAACCCAGTTCAGAGCTCTGGATTGGATCACTGGCATCCGAAGCAGCCGGATCCGAAACCAGATCAAGTAGCTGCCTACTCACACAGGCCTGATAACTTTATCAAGCAGTTGACAGGTAGTAAGGACCCAAGGAGTAGAGGGAGAAATAAACATAAATCACAGAGAAATTTAGAGCCATGTATATGATGTGGAAGGTGAAGGCTAAGTGAGAAAGCCCCCGATAAGAGGTGGGAAGCAAGCAAACATTACAGCTGTAGATCAACAGGGAGAAGAAATAACAACACCAAGCAATATGAACCCATTATTTAATATATGTCTGGGAATTGTTTAAGATTTTTCAGCTACTCATCTTTTTGCATTTAAATTGCAATTGGTTGCACCTGTAGCTGAACTATGCTTCTATTAAAATGTTTGAATCTCCTCCAAAACATATGCAATCTTATTTGAAGGAGTGTGAGTTTGGGAGCAGAAGACAGAGGTAAAAAGGGAGATGAAACTGTTCTCAGTACTATTCAGTAGATTAGGGACCTAAAACAGGAACAAAAAAATATTTTATAAGGAAAAGTAGTCAAACTAAGGAGTATGCTTCTGTCTGAAGACACTTTTAACCTACTGTGGCCATGGTAACATTGTGTGAAAGTGTTAAACTGTGAAAGGCATAAGTAGAAAAAAGTTCTCTAAGGGGACATCTACATGAGACGCTACAGTGCCATCAGGCACATCAGGTATCATCAGGCACAAAATGTGATGCCAACACCAGTTACTGTGCTGTCATTTAGTACTCACTTAAGCCACTGAGCAACTACTAAATAACTGCACAGTAACAACTGCTCAGTCAGCTGCTCGTGTAGACACAGTTTGTGTCAGTGTGCATATTTTACAAGGGACTAGAGAAAAGATGACTAATATCCAACTTCAGGAAGACGTCAAACTCCTCATCATATGCCAAAGCCCTCACGCATGTACACAGGCTCATAAAAGTTTTCACTCTAATCAACTTACGAAGCCCTTGGTCCAGAAAAAAGACCAATCCCAATTAAAACCTTTTTTTTTTTTTTTTTTAAACACACATTTCAGAGCCTGTTGACCATATGTAGTGAAGAAGAGTTTGTGGAGTGGAAGACAACACAATGAAAATGATAAAAGACAGCTGACCATGGTAAAAGTTAGCAATTCATTAGAAGCGGTGAGGATGCTTTTTACTTTTTCCCACTATACTTTACTTTGATGTGGACTTGTCTGAGTATAGTGCTACAAGAACAGACTTTTCCATTGAGAGTGACATCTTAAACTGAAGACATCAGTGAAGAATTCCTGAACTACTTTACTACAAGAAAATATGCGTTTTATTGGCCTCATCAATGATAAGATGTTATTCATGCCCGTCATAAATTCTAAACATGAAAATATTAAAAGAAAAACAAAATTAAAGCCTGCAGCAGTGCTGGCAAGCGTAACCCATATGCCTCTTTTTCTTAAACAAACTATTGTTAGCCTGTCTTCCAGAAAATTTCAGAATCTGCCAACAAATTCATTACGACAGACTTAGTGTGCTGCACGACAAACACTCTGACAAAAATGCCTCCTAAAATATTGTAGTTAGAACCCCTAATTCACCGTACCTACCAGGGAGGATAGATGTGGATGATGTCTTGTGGGCCTCCTCTGAGGTGGCCTGCTGTCTCCTTTGTAAAGAGAACCTTGAGTATGGGCTCAGTATGGGTTACAGCATCTTCCAAGGAGCTGTCAGAAGAAAACTGTCTCAGCTGCTGACAGATAGCAACTTGCATAGTGCACTCCTCATGCACCTCTAAGATCTTCACAACTAACACACCAGATTTGCCATCTGTAAAATAAGAAGCGACATAAAGCAATTAAAAAAAAAAAAACTCAGGCAAAATAAGCTATAGGCTAGAGCAGGGATGGAGAAGGTCCGGCCCACAGGCCGGATCCAGTCGGCCGGGGAATCCATTTCCCAGCCGCCCCTGCCCACATGGCTTGTGCTGGTTTCCATGAAGACCCCAGCCTCAGCTGTGCCGGCAGCATTCATGGCAGAGCAGCGCAGGGGGCTGCTCCGGAGCTGCTGGGACCGTGGGATGGGGCCAGCTTGCTCCAGAGCCGGCACAAGTCATGTGGGCAAGGGCGGCTAGAAAATGGAGTCCCCGGCCAACCAGCGGCCCAGAGATTCCATCCCTGGACTAGAGCATTCCCACAAAGATGCACACACGGACTATGTCCAGAGCCCCCTCCTTTCTTCAGGCAAATCAGTCTGGACTGATACATATACCAAGTGAAGTACAGCACTATCTATATTAAAATATATTAGTATAGAAATTATGAACCAACCAAACATGGAAACTTGTCTGTATTTTTTCTAAATACTGATAACAGTACCAGACACTATAAAATGGTGGGGGAAGAGGAAGGCCTACTTTTAAAAAAAAAAATCTGTTAGTGTTCTACCTCGGTCACCTTTTACCAAACGATATCTTTTAAATATTGTCCAATTTTCAATTCCTCCCCATTTCAGTCCTTTTTATGGAAAAATATTGACTTTTTCTGTGTAAGGCCTGAATAAAGAGGATTTGAAGACAGGACAGGGATCTTCACTTACAACTGGACAGCTAAGCAAACAGCAATTGCCACTAATACACCCCAATCTCTAATACCCCTATGTGCTTATTATTTGGGGAATTAAGCTAGCTGATCCACATATTATATATTCTCTGCTCCCTTTACTATAATGGAGAGAGGCACTGCAGCAACAGTAGTTAGGATCTTCTATATCCATACAGTGTACTAGCATTTACATCCTATGAAAGCAATCAAGTCAAGGCGGAACCCAACATTACTGCCCCTGCTATTCAGTTTCTTCTTCCTAAAGCATGCGATATACAGATTAATGTTAAAAATTCAATGTGTCATGTAAAGATTGAAAGAATTGGGATGTCATTCTAATCCTGAAATGCATATGCTTATCAAGCAAAAATGGAAGGATATATGCAAGTCTGAAGAGACAAAAATATTATGCAGGAAACTGAGGATGCACATCACATAATTTGCTAAAATACATTTACTTTGATGCTGAAATTTAACAGTTTTAACAAGATATAAATATTCTCTTCTTTGCTTTTTCCAGCAAAGTATCAGAGGCTGTTTCAGACTCAAGCAGCTGATGCCATAAGTAATTCCTATTTTCTTGAGAAACAGGAACCAGGACAGCTACAGGGACAAGACAGAGACTATCATTTTTCATTTAACCAAGCCAAGTGCCTAGGGTGCTATCTTGAATGTGTCAGCAATAATGGTTATGGCACCAGGGAAAGCACCTGTCATTTAGAGGTCCTAAGTTTCTTAGAAAAGGTGTTCAGTCTAGTGTGGTTGAGGTGTTGTGCTGATAGGGAAAATAAATTTCCACAGAAAGAGAGAGATGTTTTTACAAAGGTTATGAGTTCACAACTACAACATAACTAACTACTTCCTCTTAAAGACCCTAAATCCTGTCAAACAGACAGTGCTGTGAGCCTCCTCTGTCTCTTCCGTTGCTCTTTTCTCTCTTCCCCTATGCTCAGATGCACCATACCTTACAGTAAAGCTGACCTGACAAAAAATAAAATTTGCTGCAACAGGCTGTTGGACTGAGTGCAATTTGGAAACCAGAAGGGGTAGCTTTCATGGTGGAATTAGAGGAGGGATATGTTTTACATAAACAAGTTTAATTTTAAAAAATCCTAGCAAACAAAAAAGCCAACATTTTGACAATAGCCAAGTTAAGAGTATCCAACTGGTACAAAGAGCCCAAAACATGACAGTTCCTTCAAAGAACTCAGGGAAAAGAAAAGGCAGCAAGAGATTTACATGGTCTGCAAATAATTATTGCAAAACTAATTGATCTTTGTTTTCAGCAGACTTTGCCATCCAACAGTCCCAAAACTGCACTCGAGGAGTAGAAGGCTCTCCTTTTAGGCAATTGTAACATATGTCACCAGCCTCAGTTTAGATCTAAATGCTGGCTCCTAACTGAAAAACACCTGGTCAATGAGCATTAAAATAACTTTCAAGTCAGCTGGATTTCTAACATCTCAACCACTCAGACAGGCTACAGAAGTCAAAACTCTTCAAACAAAGCTGAACTGTCGCAACCCTCTCTCAGCCATACACTATGGGAACTGCTGGAGTTCCTAGCTTCACACAGCTCATATTCTGACCTTGGCCATGGGAAGGTGCCTGTCAGTGGGGTAGAGTGGGATGAAGAGGAATTGGGAGTGAGAGCACTGGATCTAGCACTCCCAGCTCACATGGTACATGGGATAAATGCAGTCATTCTAAGAAAAAAGGCTGATCCAACTCTCTTTCTTCCCACAGCATTGAGGGATCAAGGGAGGAATTATGGGTATACCTCTGGTGCTGTGCAGGATTTTTGTCTAGAAACAAGTTATATGGTTCTGATTTTTTTCCCTTTCTGCAAGCTGAAATATCCAGAAAAGCTGGAATATTTTTGGTATTTCATTTCAACAAAACTGAAATATTTGGTTACTATTTGTCCTTTTTAATTTTTTAATGATTATATACAATTAAGCTAAAACAAAAACAGTTCAAAATGGAAAGGCAAAATGTTCTACTCCAAAAGACTACTGAAGCTGTTTATTTTCATCTTCATTTCAAAACAAAATTTCCATTAAAAGCAACATCTGCATTTCCTCACAAGATGACATTTTTCACTGAAAAAGTCTTTCACAAATGTTCTAACTAGCACAGGAGACCTGGGACCTACTTCCCACTATGCCACCAGCCTGCTAGATGATTTTGGCCAAAGCACTGCAACTCTGTGCCTAATTTTTTTCATGTGCAAAACAAGGATAAAGCTGGTCTTTGAATACTTAGGGTGCCCTGTGCTGCCTTAGCCAGTATGCATGTGCCTTTTCTCTAATGTGATATTAAGTGCAGTCCTGCCTAAACATTTAGGTGCATGTGCAATCACAGGTACTCTGTGATCCAGCACCTAGGCAAGAATGGTTGTAGGGACTGGAAACTACAGACACTGAACATACTCTACTACTGCCATTTTGAATAAGATGTCTGTGTTAGTGTCAAACTGGTCATCCTCGCATCTAACTCAGGGGTGGGCAAAGTCCAACCTGCAGGCTGAATTGGGCCATGGCACACTCCATTTCCTAGCAGTCCCTGCCTGTATCACTGCAGCCAGTTTCCATGGAGACCCAAGTAGTGGCAGGGCCATGACAGCGTGGGACCAACATTTCCATGGGGAGCAGCCCCAGCAGTGCTGGCACCTTGCAGCGGTGACAGTATGGTCCAGAGCCGGAGCAGAACCGTGATCCTCTCCCTACCCGCT